GTGTTCAGATATTTGTAACAAAATGGAGAATACAGAGTGATAGGGAGGGAGGGGACGGGGACGGGGAGGGAGAAAAAAACCAGTTTGTAGTGACACTGTTAGGACATTAAGTTTTGTGGATACTTTACTCTTTGAATACAGTGATTATCTTTTCTAATTCATCACCATCTAGAAAATTCCACTGTTTACTCACACAGCATGGGTGCATCAGAAACAGGTCTAGAGAGATGAAATAACTTATCCAGTTAATTAATAAACTTACAGTCCATCTTCTGCCTGTTAATATTACCCAGATTCTTTGTCTTGATATATGCTTTAGTTTATCATATGAAAATGTGTTGACTTACATTTTGTGCATTTGGATTTTCATAAGTATTCATTGTTTTTCTTCTTTTCTATAGGTAGAAAACAGACCAAAGTATTACGGAAGAGAGTAAGTATGGATTGTAGGTTTATATATGTAAAAGATATATGTAAATGTATGCTTTTCGTAAAAATATAGGATGCAAGAAATATTCTAGTTTGGTGAAATTAAATTCTCTTTATCTGATTACAGGTATAATTCTCACTGGTCTAAAATAGGAAAATAAAGACAACTATAAAAAGAAAATACTATGATAAAATAAATGTGCAAAAATGTTAAAGGAGCAAGAAGAAAGCCATATAAATACATACTCCTAGATCGATGTCAAGAAAGTGTATATATTTATGTACTAAACACAATAAAACATGCAGCTAGATTCAGTGGGATTTAGACAGTTTATTTTATATTGTCCCCCTTTCTTCTACTTTTCAATATTATGTAGTGTCATACCAGAAAAAAGTGATTCATGTTACCCAGAGACATATTAAAATTTTTACATACTGCCCTCTGAGGATGTTTTCATAATGTTAGTTAATCATTGTACTTCCTTTATGTTTTCATGTTATTTACTTTAAGACAGCATCACTGTGAAACCCAGCTCCCCTTTGTGGTGGAGCTACAGGCACATGCCAATGCATCTGTCCCCTCACAGGTTTACAAAGTTTACATCTTGTCCATACAGATTTGTAGCTTGAGTTTTCTGCTTAATATTGGTGATGAGCATTATAATATTTTTATTTTTATTTTATTTTATTTTTGATTTTCAAGACAGGGTTTCTCTGTGTAGTTTTGCACCTTTCCTGGAACTCGCTCTGTAGCCCAGGCTGGCCTCGAACTCACAGAGATCCGCCTGGCTCTGCCTCCCGAGTGCTGGGATTAAAGGCACGCGCCACCACCGCCCGGTGTATTATTTTTAAAATTGACTTTTAGTTTTAGTTCTATGGTTGGGCATCTGGCTATCGGGAAAACTATTTAAAGTCCTGTTTTAATGTCCAAGGCTCTAGTTTTCCTGATTATTGAGAAATAGAAATAGAGCACTTTGAAGAAAAGAGTAAAAATCACCTATAATCCTTACCATTCACAGTTATTTCATTGCTACTTCATAACTGTAATTTTGCTGCTGTTATGAATCGTAATGTAAGTATCTGTGTTTTCAGTTGGTCTTAGGCAAGCCCTATGAAAGGATCATTCGACCCCCAAGGGGTCCCTACCCACAGTTGAGAACCACTGCCCCAGATAAAAACCTTTGTTTTTCATTGAGATAATATCAAATAGCAATGTATACAGCAATTATTTCTACATTACGTAGAATTCCAGGTGTGTTTTTTTGAGTCTTGGAATGGTCCATGGGCAGCTGCCTGGAGCTGAGGGGAGGGTGACTCCATAGCTGAGAGGCAGACCTGGCAGTCTTCAGAGTTGCTCAGCTGCCCTTCTGATTGAAGTTCTCATCAGGAGTGCTAGAGACAGAAATGTATCAGATTTTAGATGGGGATTCATGGGGAAGGGAGGCTTAATCTCTAATATTAATAGTAACTCTCAGAAACCTCTCATGGTTTTAAAGGGATACAAATAGTAGATCAATTGGTATGAATTCTTTTAAGGTTCTTTAAATTCTTTCATTGTTAAGGTGTGTTTCAAAATTTGAATTTGATTGCCTTTTAAGGCAATTGATCTTCGTTTTAAACAGCTAGTACATTTTGCCAACTTTATTCCCTGAGGGCATGGCACATGCAAAGTATAGACTTTTGGAGGGTGTCACATCAGGAATGGGTTACCCTCTTACCTGCAGCAGATAAAGTATATTGCCCATGGACCTAGGTGTAAGATTGAGAAATTGAGGAAGATGAAAAATCCAGGAGACCAATTAGAGCATTTCTGGGTGATGTGATTTAAAACATAATTGCCATGAACAATTTTAAGACTTGAGCCAAACCTACAAGGAAAAACTTCAGAGAGTTGCCAGTTACCCCAAAGCAAAATTCCTGGGCTATTAAGGTGTCAGAACCTTTAAAATTTAATCGAAAGTCAAGTGACTATTGTTCTTTTGTGCTGTGGAAGCTGTGATGTTTCTTTTTTTTTCCTTTTTTTTTTTTTGGTTTTTGAGACAGGGTTTCTCTGTGTAGCTTTGGAGCCTGTCCTGGATCTCTCTGTAAACCAGGCTGGCCTCGAACTCATAGAGATACGCCTGCCTCTGCCTCCCAAGTGCTGGGATAAATGGCTTGTGCCGTCACCACCACCTGGCCTGTGATGTTTTTGTTGTTGTTGTTTTTAAGCAGTGAGTTAGCTGTGAGGAGAGACTTACTGCCATCCTCTTCTGTGATGCCTGAGCCTTTGAGATAAACTCAACAGGTAGATCACAGCAGATAGTGTAAATGTTGATAAAATGCAAACAAGGCTATCACAGAAAAAGTAGTGAATACCCGTGGAATGTCAAGAGTTTGTATACTAATAGTTATTATTTATTTAGTTTTTAATAATTTAAAATGTCCTTAGGGACATTGTGGGTCATTTAGGGAAGAATAGATGATTTTTAGGAAATGTGATTTTTCCTGCCTTAGGAGAAAGAATGGGAGAGAAGCAAGTTTGTGTGTGGCATGGTGTTACCTTTATATCTCCTCTTCTGCATGATATTCAGTCTCCAGGGGTGGGGGGGAGCCTGCTGGGATTCAGGCCCTTTTGGATGATGTGTCCTTAGGTAGATAAAGAGAGCTCAGAAAGGCTTTTCCTGCCACTGGCTGTATGTCTTGTGCTGTCAGATGAAGCCTGCATACTAAAGCAACACATCCGGGGTGGCATGGCCTGGAGTCCTTTATCGTCTGAGTTCCTGAAAGGACACACTATATGAATTTACAAATTGCAAATCCTCATACAGGTGTAAAGTGATTCCGTATTTTAGATATCTGCTACCACTGCCACTTTTACTTTCTCAGTGTTCGGTATCAGGTTGTTGTGAATGAATCTTTGCATAAAAGATGCATTCATTATTTGTGTTTATTCTTGCTTTTTTTCCTTTGTTAATGAACGATAGGGTTTGGACAGGAAGCCAAGGCATGTGCTACACTCTTTGCATGTGGTCTGAGTATTCAGCAATGCACATTATGCACATTATTGGGTGATCATGCCAATTAAAGACAACCCAGGGTCCTGGAAAGTTGCCAGCATGGACTTCTAGCCAGAAGCTTGGATCACAGTACCAACTGGGCAGAAGAAATGAGATAAATTCTGTGTATTATTCTTTAGCAAGCCCATATGGTCAAATGGCTACATGAGAAAGGTCTGTCCTCTTAGGCGAGGTGGTGGATCCTGCCTTCAGTGGATGCGGATTTTGTTCCAAGTTGGGAAGTAGACTCAGTAGCTGCTTTGGTGCTGTTCTTATCCCAGAGAAGCTGGCCGGGGCCAGGCCAAGGGAGGCACAGCACAGTTAAAGCCAAGTGCTTTCTTTCCTCCCTCGGCGTGGCCGAGACCAGCAGGTGAGGGCACGGGCTGTGTTTTGTCCTGTTGTACTGAAGAACTGTGGAGAGCCGGCTCTCTGATTGGCTTTGTTCCATAGGTTTCATGGCATGATCTCTAGAGAAGAGACTGACCAGCTCTTGAGTGTGGCTGAGGGGAGCTACCTCATCCGGGAGAGCCAGCGGCAGCCGGGAACATACACTTTGGCTTTAAGGTTGGTCATGGACCTGAAATTAACTGTGCTTTATTTTAGACCCTCTTAATAGAGGGCTTTAAATTTAAAGACAGCAAGTAATTGAATTGGTTCTTGTTTTCTTGGGGCCTAATTACCATTTTAATAGCTTTAGACTCTTTAAAAATTCTTCGAGAATGGTAGCCCTTGGTGACTAAGGATTGTGACACCTTAAAGCATGTTTGATGTAGCTGCTTCCTTCCATCATTCCCTTGCTCTCTGTCTCTCGAATAAGGAAAGACACTAAAAGAAAGTTCTTGGTAACTGATGAACCTAAAGCCAGTGTGTAGCTAGAGTTTTCCTGCCTTGCCCACAGTCAGGACAAATCTCTCTCACCCGCCAGTCCCACAGCCGCTCAGACCCAACCAAGTAAACACAGAGACTTATATTGCTTACAAACTGTATGGCCATGGCCAGCTTCTTGCTAACTGTTCTTATAGCTTAAATTAATCCATTTCCATAAATCTATACCTTGCCACATGGCTCATGGCTTACCGGTGTCTTCACATGCTTCTTGTCATGGCAGTGGCTGGCAGTGTCTCCCTCTGTCTTCCTGTTCCCTCCTTTCTCCTCTCTGTTAGTCCCGCCTATACTTCCTGCCTGGCCACTGGCCAGTCAGTGTTTTATTTATTGACCAATCAGAGCAATTTAACATACAGACCATCCCACAGCACCGGTGTCATTTCTTAGGTTGAATTTTGGTTGAAGTAGTTTTTCTTGGGAACTCTTGGCTCTTATCTGCTATTGGATTTCATCTAATGTTTTGGCTGTGCTTAGCTGATGATGTGGTGCCTAGAAACAATATTTCCATTAGCATTACACTCGAACCAATCATAGGAACAGCAGTGCAGTAGCATGGCTGTCCACTGGGCTTACCCTGTGCCAGGCTCCTCAGTGTACTTAGTCTTCAAGACAACTCTCTCTGTTATTACTGTTTTCACTTTACAGTTGAAACAGAGGCCTGGAGGTGGACTGACATGGCCAGCCACAGTCACACGTACAATAAGTTGTGCTAGTATTTTAAGCCAGTAAGACTTAGAGTGTGCTTTTAAATGCTGTGTTCCTGCTTGCCCGAAGGTGTAGAATAATAACTTGTCTTTGTCCAGTTCCTCATGGGTTAGTTCTCTCTGAAAAGACTGGTGAGCAGCTGTAACTTCTTAAGGAAGTGGTGCAGAAATCATAGAGCACAGAGAGGATAGAGAGGTGCCAGAGCTTTAGCCTGACTCCTCCTTCAGCTACCCTGCCTCTGGTAGTGAGCATGGAATCCATCCTTGTCCTAAACAGATCAATTAATCTTCCTGATAACTTGACTGATACAATTCAGTATTATTTCAAGTAGAGTTCTGAGTCCTCTGTGTTCTTGGAAAGACGAGTTTCTCATAGTGTTTGTGGAACTTTGCCTTTTGTTACAAATTATGACATATAAATCCCCCTTCAGTTACTTAACTGTGTTGCTTATTAATTTTGATTGTGGTATACAGGGGAAAATATCTACTTTGGCAACCCAAATATCTTTATTTTCCTACCAATTTTATTAGAAGACTGATTTGGAGAAAAATCACAAAATTACTTGATGTTTACTTTTCCTATTTTTTGGTTTTGTTTCTACTTTCTCTGCTTTTGGGGGGCCTCAAACACAGGGCTTGTGCATGTCAGGGACATCACTCAGCTGCATCTGCAGTCCTTGAGGTCAGTTTCTTTGTCCTTCTATCCTTTAACTTTATACCAGAATTCGGCATCACTGCATCTCTCCTCTGGGGCAGTCATGTGATTGTCTAGGATAAATGAGCCTCGATGTAACAGCCGATGGGCCAGGGTATCTTGAAGGAGGAAGAACAAAATCCTCCCTAGGCTACAGTTTCCTTACTTGTCTCCATGACAGTGTGGAAGTTGAAGGACTTGAGTAGCTTGAACTCAGTTCTGCCTCTCATCTTAAGGCGCAATCTCTTGTAGTTGTTCCTGGCTCACACCATCAGACAGTCAAGGAACACAGATTTAGTTTGGAGTAAAGTAACCCCCAGACTGACAAAGGTCTTCCTGCTCCTCACCGTCTTGCCCTGGCATTCTACTTATTTCCCATCCATGGAGATTGGAGAATAGTTGAACATTAGTTTGAAGGGAATGGTGGGTTGTTTTTTGTTTTTTCTTTTCTTTTCTGTTCTGTTTTTCTTGACAGGGTTTCTCTGTATAGCCCTGACTGTCCTGGAACTTACTCTGTAGACCAGACTGGCCTCAAGTTCAGAGATCCACCTGCCTCTGCCTCCTAAGTGCTGAGATTAAAGGTGTGCGCCACTATACCAGGAGTGTTTTTAATTCAAGGTCTGTGAGAACCTATAGTCTATCTTTGTTATTGAAAAATCACTACATGATTCTTGGAAACACTGAGTAAAGAAAGCTGTGGGGGAGGGTAGGAAAAGGAATTTATGAGGATGTATTTTGAGTAATTTATGCATTGAAATGTAACTAACAGTCTTCACATTTAAACTAGATGTATGGCAGGGGAATGTTAAGAATATGAAATAGAAGTTGTATTGAAATGTGTCCTTGTTATTATTACCTCATACTCCCTGCAGCTGGTAATTCTCCCAATTCATATCAGTTTGTTTGTAACATGGTGTACAATCTTTTTGTGGTCAGCAGCTTGCCTAGTTCATCGCATCTGTGTTCATTGTGCGTTTGTAGTGTTGGCCAAGGGCTCTCTAAAAAGGAGTAAATCTTCAACCTCAGGGTCCGCAGGAGACACGTCAAGACCAGTTGTCCCAAACCGAGCTCATT